AGAAAACCAAGAATGCTGTAAGTGGAGCCGTGAAGGCTCAGAAGACCAGAATGCTGATAGCCATGTGGACAGGAAAGGCCATGCTGATGAGGTTCAGGTGGAAATGAGGGTTATATTGGGAATCAGACCAAAGATCACCCTTGTCACACTGTGGCAAGAAATCTGGTTTTATGGTGTTCCATGATCTGAGACTTTGTGGAAGGTTGAACTTGATGATGATGACGGACAAGTATATTTGACAGAGATATCAAAGCAGCAACTCGCCGGCACTGCGGCTCAATAGGCTAATCCTCCACCTTGTGGCGCCGGCACACCGGGTTCTAGTCCCATGGGGCGCCGGATTCTGTCCTGGTTGCCCCTCTTCCAGGCCAGTTCTCTGCTGAGGCCCAGGAGTGCAGTGGAGGATGGCCCAAGTGCTTGGGCCCTGCACCCCATGGGAGACCAGGAGAAGCACCTGGCTCCTGGCTTCGGATCCGTACGGTGCGCCGGCAGCAGTGCACTGACCACGGCCGCCATTGGAGGGTGAACCAACGGCAAAGGAAGACCTTTCTCTCTGTCTCTCTCTCTCACTGTCCACTAGTCGTTCAAAAAAAAAAAAAAAAAAAAAAAAAAAAAGGCAACTCATTTGGGATTTAGGATTGGTGTTACTGGCTATTTTAAGTCAGTTTTATAGAACAAATTAGGAGGGAAAAAAAGGATCAGGGTGAACAGATTTGTAAAATTCACAGTTTGGCCAGAGAAGGAGCAAAGTAAAAGAATGTTCAGGATAGGGTAATGCAGTGGAAAAGTCCTTGAAGGCATCCCAGAAGTCTTCCAATCTGCCCCTCCCACCACAGGCCCAGAGGCCTGGAAAGGAAGAATTCTTCCATGATACCCAGGAACACTTTCTGTGGGTTTGTCCAAGACTTCTTCAGGATTTGTTTCCCTGCCCAGCCAGACAGGCATTCCACTGCTACAGCCGTGGTTCAAGCAGGTCCATGCTGGCAGTAGACTTTGGCAGCACCCACGTAGTTCTGCTTTCTCAGCTGTGCAGAAGGCAGAGGAAAGCCTGGGCACTCATGCAACAGGCTGCAGGGCTGGAACACCTGCATGGAACCCTGATGGAGCAATGCCTAGTGAGAGTGTGAGAGTGAATCTCGATGCAGAGACCCCAGGAAGGCAGAGAAACATCAACATGCCACTCCAGACTTGGAAAGCAACAGCTGTCGAATGTTAGACTTGGAGGTTTATGACAATGTTTGCCCTGAGTTTCAGTCTTTGGGGAGAATTACTCATAACCTCCCTCCCCTTTTATGGGAATGTATACCCGATTCCTGCCCAACCATTTTATCTTGGAAGTATGTAGCTTGATTTAGGTTCTTTTTTTTTTTTTAAGATTCATTTATTTGTTTGACACTTTTATTTATTTGTTATACATATTTGTTATACACATTTATTTTATTTATTTGAAAGGAATAGTTACAGAGAGAGAAGGAAAAACAGAGAAAGAGATCTTCATCTACTGGTTTACTCACCAAATGGCAGTAAAGGCTGTGGCTGGACTAGGTGGAAGCCAGGAGCCAGGAGCCTCCTCTGGGTCTTCCATGTGGATGCAAGAGCCCAAGCACTTGTGCCATCTTCTAATGCTCTCCCAGGCACATTATCCGGGAGCTGGATCAGATGTGGAGTAGCCAGGACTCAAACCAGCATCCATATGGGATGCCAAGACTACAGGTGGCAGCTTGTCCTGCTATGCCACAATAGCAGCCCCTTGCTTTAGGTTTTACATTTCACAGCTGAAAGAGTTTGCGTAGAGTCTGAGATGAGATTTAGGTCTTTTGAATTAATGCTGACCTGAATTAAGACTTTGGAATTATCTGGAATATAATGATTGTACAGTTTATGTGAAAAGGTCATGGGTTTTAGAAGATCATTGGCAGAATGCTAGGTTTCAATATTTGTCCCCCAAAAAACTCAAGGGTTTAGTTCTCAATATTTTGTGTTATTGATACTAACACAGTAGATACTTAATCCAATTATGGTGTTTGACATTGGAGCCTTTGAGAGGTGATTGAATTGGATTGATTCATTAGGGTATAGTCCCCATGGTTAAATTCTGGTGGTTTTATGAAATACTACATAAATATAGACACATACACATGCTTCCTGTCTCTTGCCATGTGATGCCTTATATGAAGTGGGCCTCTGCCAACAAGAACACTGTCACCAGAGACTGAAATGGGATCTGTTTGACCTTGAACTACAAACCTTCAAAATGGTGAGCCTTAATGAACCTCTTTCCTTCATGATGTTAGGCTGCCCAAAATGTTTCATTACAGTGACAAAAATGACTAATGCAGTTATTTTATAAAGTACTTTTTAAAATGAGCTTCATATGGAAAAAATAGCAAATTATCCAATTCATTAGACAAAAGCCAAACACTCACAATAAAGCACAAAATACACAAATACAAAGTGTAGTTAAAAAAAAGAAAGTCTTTAATCACAACAATAACACATGCCCAGCCATTTGCCTTGTGAATGAAATCTTGGGATCTAGAAGACCAGACAGAGATGAAGAGAGCCAGGGCCAGGGCTTATAAACTCTTAGAGAGGGAGTTTGTGTAGACAGTAAGAGATTAGGGGTGGCCCCCAAAATAGTGTGGTTGCATCAGACAAATTATAGACAGGGAGAAGCTTCCTGTGTCAGTGTTAGGGACTGACTTGTGTCCCCCTAAAACATAAACTAGAGCACTAACCCTTAGCACATCAGAATGGGGCCTTGTTTGGACATAGGGTCATCAACTAAATTAATATGAAGTAATACTGAACTGGTTTGGCTCTTGATCCAATGACTCGTACCCTTATGAGAGGAAATTTGAGATCTAGACACAAAGAAGAGAACACCATGTAGAGACACACACTCAGGATAGACCATGCGACAACAGAAGCAGAGATTCAATTATTGCATCTATAAGCCAAGGAATGACAAGGGTTGATGGTTAGAGAACACAACCCTAGGGAGAGGCAAGGGAAGATTCTGAGAGAGAGAGAGAGAGAGAGAGAGGAAGATTCTGAGAGAGAGAGAGAGAGAGGAAGATTCTGAGAGAGAGAGAGAGAGAGAGAGAGAGAGAGAGAGGAAGAGATGGTTTGGGACTTCTATCTACTAGAACTGTTAGACAATACCTCCTCTAGGAAATTAACACATACAGATATAACAGGAAGTTTTAAGACCTGTGATTTTCAATGTGCAATCATTGCCATTGGCTTTCTCCAGTTTTAGTAATTTTTTGTCTTATTTATCAATGTGCTGTAGATAGAAGAGGAGGGTTAAGGAGGAGTTGACAAAGTTTGTAGGAAAAGGACATCAAGTCTTCATCAGAGTGTGAAATAGCAGTGGGTAGGGACCAGGGGAATTAGGCAATTGGAAATAGACATCTTTCAGGGTGAGCTCCAGGCATCCTACTACATAGGTTGAATGGATATTTGAGGACTTTAATTGAATACTAAATAAAGAATAACCTTTTAAAAGGCTGGAGGGCTAGAAAACACTTGTTCACACATTTTTTAAAAAGTTCAAAGAAACGTGTTTCAGAGATTATAAGAAGAAAGAAATTGTAAGTAATTCTGGTTGAAGGTTAAGAATAAATTTACTTTCATGGAAATGGGAAGAGAAATGCATTCCTTGGAACTTGAAAAAGGAAAGAATGGGATTAGTAGACAGTCAATCTAAGCAGATCATCTAAGAAAGACTGAAGAAACTGGGAACTTCTCCCAGTGGATCCTTGAGATTCTCACCTTTTAGCCTTCTGCTCTAGAGCAAGAGTGGAATTGGTGTAAAAATAATTAATCCTTTTTACTAAGAGAAGTATGTCCTTGTGCCCCAAAGTAGACCTCTAAATGAGATTTCTTTCAGAACTGTCATTATAGATATGATTGGAACTATAACTACCACAATCATTCTTTTGGAATAGGCCATTGAGGACTACTCTAGAAAGTCAGATTCTCTCCATCACAGTGTTTCAGTGGGGAGGGGGCCGGTTTGCAAGGCAAGAGCAAGGGACGCTTTCTTCCCCTTTGCCAAAGCAGGTTTCTGAAATGTCACACTCATACATCGACAGTTTTCTATGTATATTGTGTATGTTTGAATGTAAATAGGCAAATTTCATGAGCTTAACTCAGAAGTACCTATGCTGAGGCTTGGTACTGTCATAAGTTTGGAATAATTGGACCGTATTTTAGATTCCTGAATTTTCTATCCTTAAAATAAGGATAATAATTGAATCTTCAGTTTCTTAAGGTTGAGAAATTTGTCGAAGTGACACTCTTTTAGATCCTTCACCTTTATAGTAAGGAGCTTTTTTTTTTAATTCTAAAAGGACATTTTATAACAAAACTTTCTAGATTGTTACATTTGAGGAATTTCTTTAAATCTCAAAATTTGACTGATTTCAATCAATTCTTGCTTTGTTTTGCCATTAGTATACTAGAACAAAAGAAAATTACAAATTATGACTATGACCTATAAAGCATTGTGCTTTGTTACATTTGTACAAATGAGAAGTAATTTTCACAGTCCAAGCACAGCTTTAATCTTTTAAATAACAAATGCAGGCACCGCGGCTCACTAGGCTAATCCTCCGCCTAGCGGCGCCGGCACACCGGGTTCTAGTCCCGGTTGGGGCGCCGGATTCTGTCCCGGTTGCCCCTCTTCCAGGCCAGCTCTCTGCTGTAGCCAGGGAGTGCAGTGGAGGATGGCCCAGGTGCTTGGGCCCTGCACCCCATGGGAGACCAGGAAAAGCACCTGGCTCCTGGCTCCTGCCATCGGATCAGCGCGGTGCGCCGGCCGCAGCTCGCAGGCCGCGGTGGCCATTGGAGGGTGAACCAACGGAAAAGGAAGACCTTTCTCTCTGTCTCTCTCTCTCACTGTCCACTCTGCCTGTCAAAAAATAAAATAAATAAATAAATAAATAACAAATGCAATCAAATGTGGTATTAACAGCATGAAGTCATTGAGGCTTTTGGGATATTAAGGTAATGCAACTGTGGAACGTGCAATGCAGAATCTATGAAATTTAAGATCAGATGAGGTTAACAAATAAGGAACTCAATGGATCACCTTGATCATATGCTCATGGTCACAGTATGTTGCTTTATTAATCTGATAAGAACAGATAGTACACTTGATCTTAGCCAAAAGGCCAAGAAGTGATGGTATGTTGCTTTATGTTAACTTCTATTTTATTCATTGCATACTCCTAAGCAGATTTGAAAAAAAAATTCTATTGGCTGTTTCCTGAAATGACTTCAATTTAAAATCATACTTAATCCCCACTATATCACAAAAGTTGTATAAGTAAGATAAAAAATTAATAAGAATAAAAATAAAACGGGAAGTGCTATACAAAGCAAAAAGCAGAAAGAAATCTATTCAAATTAAGCAGCAAAGAGGAAGCAAATACAACTTTGGCTGAGTTTATATTTCAGTTTTGAGCCATGGACCACAAAAATAGCAATGTTTCATATGATGACATTTTGATGTGTGCTTTTTTCTTCCTTTAGTTACATTTCACCAAATGTAGTTTTGATGTGTAGTCCTCAGTGTGGGTATTCATTCAGCTTCATTTAATTTCTTATTATGTCCAGCCTGGTTGTCAATAGTGCATTTGGACAGTGGTTTTCAAGATTGTGCACAATAACTTTCCTATTGCTGGTGTCTGGGAAGAAATTGGGATATTGGTGTCAGATTGTTCCTATTGATCCATGTTTGTTTCTTTTTTTAAACTAAGCCGAGTTCTCTTTTTGAACTAAGAATCAGAAACATCTATCCTTTTATATATGCACTCTGCCTCCTCAAGTCGAGATGGCCTGAGGGGGGTGAGTCAAATGACAGAATTGGTCTCAAACTCCTAAAATCTAGTATCCAATGATAAGCATTCTAGCATCAAAGGGGATACAACAAGAAGATTTTGAAATCTCCGTTGCAGTAGAGCTAAACTCCCAGGAGTTCTAGCTATACTTTTGTAACCTTCAGTAGTTTCTGTGTTTTTGACCTTACTGAACAGCTGTTAAAGGAATTATTCTTTCATGCTTGGCAGTTTTGTTTTGTGAGTATCTTAAAATTCCCCGTAAACAGAGATATAGTGATCTGCATGAGCCCATTTCAGGAGAGTGAAGTCTGACTTTTTATTGCAGACATAGTATTTTATTGTATTGTCCTAGCTTCTGCTATCATGCACCTTTCTAAAAAGATTGTAAATTGAATGCTATGTTGCTGTCTGTCATAAAATCATGACTTACTATACTTCCAAAAATATGCAGGTGTCTCTATGCATAGATTTTGCTCCTGAAATGGAAGAATGTTTATTTCAACTGTAGTATTAGGCTGTATATTTAGCATCCTCATTTGTGGGAATTGAAGGCTGTGGCAGTGCAGTATAATAGTGTTTCATTGAATTGTAGGGAGATAAGAAGAATAGAGCTGCTTTTAAAAACATAGGAAGAAAAATATTTTTGGAAGTTTGTATGGGTGACAAAGATTTCTGAACTGGTAATATGATTGGAGCTTCTGGAATTCAGTTTGCAGATATTACTAGTAGTGATTAGGATGTGCTACTATTTTAAGAAACTATAAGAATAAAGTCTTGGCCAATAATTTATTTGCCCTCAGAGTATCCTCAAATGGAAGACCTTTTAAAAACCTGAAAACTACTGAATTTAGAGATTCTTAGAAGTCATTTATTTTACCCCAGTGTTCATGCCGACAGTACATGACACCTTGCTGCTAGGTAATATCCAGTCTTCTGGGCTTCAGAGGAGGGGGTTTCTGTAGCAAAATACCCAATGCCCACACACTACACCCCTGCCAGAGTTTGGCTGTACCCCGGCCTTATTGCTCAGAGTTCCCTGGATTGAACACCATCATGATACACATAAAACTTTTCATATACTTGAAGATTGTTAAATTATCTCTGACTTCTCATTTAGAGGAGAAATAATTCTTGTTCTTTTAGCCTTCTCTCAAAGGTATTAGCCTTCAAATCTTTTATCACTTTCATTGCTCCTCTTTGGAACCTGTCCAAGTATTTCACAGGCCTCTAAAGTTTTGGAACTTAGGAAGAGAAGCCATGTTCTGACAAGTAAGAGGATGACCTCCAATTCGGTATAACATGCATTTCTTACATTCCTGAAGCATTGTGTTTGCTCTTGTGAACTACAGGAGACAGAGAGCAAAAATCTTTTATTCCATATGATGTCTTGTTCACCTCTAATTTTTCCAAAACAGCCGGCAGCCATTTCCTGTCTCAGAGTTATGTATCATATTCACTTTTCTCTCCAAAAAGATGGGAGTACGCACAACACTCAGAGTCACTGTGAGAGGAGTGCAGATATTCTATTCATAGATATGTGGCAAAGATGATAAAGTGTGAAACAAATATGAAACAAGCCAAGTAATGCCTGATTGTTGGATGGAATGAAAGCAGAGTAAAATAAGAGTGACAGATGGAAGTGATTATTACTATTGTTATTATTTCTGTTGTTATTATTATAAAAATATCAGCACCATTTTCAAGGGTCTAATGCCATGATCCATGTGTGCAATGAGAGTCCAGCCATAGACAGAAGAGCTCACACCAGTGGTTCTGATGTGGCTATGTAAGTGTCCAACAAGGGGTGCTAAACTGGGAAAACTGGCTCTGTTCTACCTGCCAGAAATAAATTTGTTCAGAGTATGGCTTGGGGAGTGTGGACTGGATGTCAGCGTAAGTTAATGTATGTTTGCTGACAGACAAGGATGATTCACATTTTCATTCATTTGGTTCCGTGATTCTTGACTGTTGCTATTCTGTGTCTTCTCAGTTGCTGAACAAGCAATCTCTCCTCTATGTCGCCAGGTATTTCTCAGCATCCCAAACTCACAAACTGCTATTGCCAGTCTCACTGAACTCCCTTCCTTCCATGGATTAAACTGGCTTATTTCCCTGTATTCCTTCTGGTTTGCCAGTCCCTCTTTTGAGGTCCATTCTTCCTCTTCCTTTCTTACAGTTTCCACTCACCCTTCAACATTAGATTGATGCCAGTTTTCATGAAAAGACTTCTCTGATCATCCATTCTAGTCCAAGGACTCCAGTCAGCTTATGGAACCCATTTTCTGCACAGGTTGTAAGACCTGGAAAGACAATTTCACCTTGTTCATAGTATAATGAAGACGGTGCTTGCCATGAAATTCAGTACCTTTCGAAAGTAAAGACACAAGAATTATTCCATTAAATCACAAATATAATTGAGTTACTCTTTATCTTAAAAACTTTGATTGTTCTTCAATGACTGTAGGATCAAGCACAACATTTTTATGAAGCATTTTTTCCTTCACAATAAAGCCACAACCTTTTAAGATTTTTTCTCTATACAACATATAATACAATATATATATTGTATTATATCTCTATGTAATACAACATATAAGTAAGCAATATCAAGCAACTTATATATTGACTCATGTTCTACTCAGTCTCTTATCTTTTAGTTCTAACATTTGACTTCAGCCTTTATTGCAGCATCCAGTGGCACCAAGACATTCCCTGACAGCATCTTGCATCCACTCCACAATATACCTTTCAATTCCCACTTGGGACTTCTCTGCCAATAGCTCTTAAGACAGTGTCAGGAACCTGCTCAGTCATTTTACACAAGCTTAAAACAACAAGTTCAATTGAGTAAACACCCATGGGAAAACTTTTAACCATTGAGGGCAAATCAGATGTACAGTAAATATATGCACCTCTCAGGGTTCCCAGAAGACTAAGCCCTAATGTCCACGATGTAACTAGCTCAATAATGCTTCTTTGGACTGTTTCCTGTTTCTAACTTTCACACTTCATTGTCTTCCAAGTGGTCACAAAATAACTACCTGCAGGGAAATCTGAACTGGTTTTGGAAAATATCTTGGTATCTCAGTATGCCCTGTATACATTTACACATACTATGTCCACTGCCAAGAACTCCTATTCACCCACCCCAGGTCCCTTTCTCTTTTGATGCTTCCATCCATCATCCAAACCCTAGCAGAAAAGGTATCTTAATTGAAAGCATTTCCTTCACTTCCAGAAAAAATCACCCCATCTTCTGGGTACTGATGGCATTTTGTACACATTTCCTTTGTGTACAAGCATTTTTGACAAATCTTGTAAAGCTATGAGAATATGAAAAACACATGTATTCAATTATTTAACTCATGTATAAAATATTTTATGAAAATCATTTTCTGTATGGATATTTTGAAAAGTATTTCTACAGACAAAATTTTCTTTTATTAATATTCAAGAACATGTCCTCTATTAAATAAACTTTCCTGTAAGTTTTTTTTTTTTTACCCCAGAAACCTTTTATTTAAGGTATACAAACTTCATGCATTTCATAAATACAAATTTAGGAACATAGTGATAGTGATTATTACCACCATACCCAACCTCCCACCCTTCTGCCTCTTCCGTCTCCTGTTCCCATTCTTATTTTTTATTAAGATCTATTTTCATTAACTTTATACATAGAAGATTAACTATTCTAAGTAAAAAGTTCAACTGTTCCTCAACAGTTTTTTTTGATTTCTCTTTTGATTTCTTCTATGATCCACTGTTCATTCAGGAGCATGTTGTTCAGTCTCCACATGTTTGCATATGTTCTTGAGATTATTGAGTTGTTGATTCCTAGCTTCATTCCATTGTAGTCAGAGATGATGCATGGTATGATTTTGATTTTTTTGAATTTGCTAGGACTGTTTTATGGTCTGGCCTGTGGTCTATCCTAGAGAAACTTACATGAACTGGAGAGAAGAATGTGTATTCTGCAACTGTAGGATGAAAAGTTCTGTAGATACCATTTAGGTCCATTGGGTCTATAGTGTCAATTAACTGCTGTTTCCTTGCTGATTTTCTGTCTGGTTGGTCTGTCCATTCCTGAAAGTGGAGTGTTGAAGTCCCCATTACTATTGTATGGGAGTCTATGTCTCCCTTTAGATTCATTACCATTGCTTTTAAATAGCCAGATGCCCTCTAATTAGGTGTGTATACATTTATTATAGTCACATCATCCTGTTGAAGTGATCCTTTAATTATTACATAGTTGTTTTAGTGTAATACAGTTTTTGTGTTAAAGTCTATTTTGCCTTGTATTAGGATGGCTACAACTCTTTTTTGGTTTCTGTTAGCATAGA